CGTATTTTGCTCTGAAAGATGTGCATGTCGAATGGAGGAACTCGGAATGCGAGGAGTGTGCCTGATTTAAGCTTTGGGCTGAGCTGCATTGCAAACCAAAGAGACCGCCCAGCGGAACAAGATGAGGGCTTGTAACCTCGCTTACTTACAACCTTCCTTAATGCGGTGCAAAACAAGGAAGGGCAACTTGTCACTGAATAAAGGTGGGGACACTCGGCATGACCGCTGCGAAATGGAAACTGCAGCGGGCATAGTCCCGTGTCCGAAAGAAAATTGAGTTGGAACATCGATCCTTGCTGCCACGAGAACTTCGGGTAAGAACATTCTACTAGGGACCTGCAAGACGTCTCCACCCAAGGTTCCATTGCATTGGTCACAATGATTACCTGCACATGTTGCACTTTTGCGAAACCTCTGTCACGCAGAGCGCATGGATGCTCAGCACCTGCCTTGCCCATCTTCATGGCAAGCTTCAGAGTTGCCTGAATCGTAAGTCAACAGCAATCAGTGTGATGGCCCGTCAGGATACAAGCTTCTCCGAACCCAGGGTTGGGAACATCGTGCATGACTGTCAGTCGCCTCTACATGCTTCTGCAGCTCTCGAAGAGGTCTCTGGTACCTGACAGGATGGAGGAGATACATTGTTGTCAGCGCAGCACAAGCTACTAAGACACACACAACCTGCAGAGCACTTCTCGTCAGCAGGGCAAGGCTTGAAGAAACTGAGCGCGGGCCGATTCTGCGGCGGGACTGCTGCATCGCTTTACACTTTATACTCAGCCTCAAAAACTACGAAAGTCGACATTGACATTCTGACAAACATGACATGCGCCGCTCCTCTCTTATCCAATTCGACGGGCATAGGGTGTCATCCCAGTCAAACAAGATAATCGTCTGCTCTGGTCTGAAATACCTGCTTGGCCATGCATGCCATGCACTGCGCCTCTCAGTTCTCAGCACACGGTTCCCGAGCAGTGTTTGAAAGCCAAGGTGCTCGGCTTGACTGCCGGTGCTAGTGATTGATTCAATCGTCTGACGTATCGTGGGCTTCAGACGTGAAGATGTCGAATTTGGAGTAGTATTGGAGGTGGAAGGTGATAAAGCCTGTGCCAGAGGTAGCAGCATGGCAACGGGCGAACTTGCACGGAGCTCCCTGGGTGTCCTTGGGGCCGGTATTTGCTCCCACGCGACGTGTGACCTGCAAGCTTTCCGTTTTGCTTCAAAGAAGCGGCTGTCTGCAAGCGCCCCGTTGTCACTAGCTGAGAGCCGGTCGATGGGCCCTTGCGAACCAACGGACGGCGAGGGCCGAGTGGCCGCCATGCCACCTTGGACCGCTCACAAAGCATCCCTCAATCGTCGAGGTACTGGGCACTGAGACTCAGTGGTCCCGACAGTCCTGCCAACAGGAATCAACAAAGGAGGGATGGCATCTGGAGCCCGATGTGCAGCGGAAGAGCTCTCACCCTGGATTGCATGACTTTCACCAAGCAGCTAAACTTGCAGCTCTGCCTTTAGCGTAGGAAGCCCGATCGCCCAAACATTTTCGCCCGCAAGGCGTAAGGCCGGAAACATTGGACCACTGCAAGGCAGGACAGGCCTGACATCGTTGCAGAGCCCTCGGTCACTTGAACGGGCTGCACAGCCGGACAGACCCATGAAGTTGACAGAATTCCGGGTTCAGCTGGCCCGGCATGATGCAGGTCAGGGACAGTTTCATCAGCAGTGCCAGCTCTTCCTTCCGGGCTGCACCCCGTGTGCCACCTCTGTAACATCTCTTCGAAATCTGGCACTTCTGGGGCCAACCAAGTGCTACGGTGCGGAACAGTGTGTTCAAGCCTGTCGGTTCCCGCGGCGAGTGTCACATGCCTGGCGGCGACCATACGCTCCTGTTCTCACACGCCGGGTAACGAGGCATCGTCTTTGCTGCCACGGTTGGAACAGTAGTCTCACCGTGCGTGGCGAGGTCGACCACCGTCGTGGCACAAAAGATGACCAAATGGCCCATGCTGCGAGCTCCGCTAGTCCTCCCTGTCGGCCGCTGGCTGCTGCAATCAGCAAGCTAGGTAAAACCATCCCCACTCAACCAGTGAGCACGCAGCCCGTCATTGTCCATGCACGACAAGACCTTGAAGCCGGTCCCGTGACAGTGCCCATCAGAACTTTACCATAACATGGCACAGCCTCTTGCACAGATTGTACATGATATGACTCACAGCTCTTCCATGGTACAAGGGGGCATCGCATTCATTACCCCGTCCCAGGTCAGTGGAACGACGCGGCTCAAAGGAATGCCGCCGCCTTTACTGAAAAAGCTTTGTGAGGATGCCACCACTGGCCGGTTCGCTCACCAGAAGAGTCGGCAATGGCTCTGCCGGCTCCGCTGCGGCTTCGATCGGACTGTTCCAAGTCTCCAGGATCTGCTGCACGGACGGCCTTTGCTGAGCACGTCGCAGCAAAGGCATCACGCGAGCTCGCAGCTTCTCTGCTGCGCGGTCGGTTGGTGTTTTGGTGAGTAAATCGTCGAAGGCATACCCGGTCATGTAGAAATCTTCCGCAACTGCACGGGGCTGCTGATTGGCTCTAAGTTCCGGGCTTGCTGCCTCCCAGGTGCCCGGATAGCGGTGCAGAATGTCGTCAGCCTTCTTGAGCTCCATTGCAGCATCGAAATCGATAAGCTTAACATTGAAGCTCCAAGGACGGGAACAACACAGGTTGGATGCCTTAATGTCCAGGTGTGCTACCAGCATCCCGTGGATGTATGCCACAGCCTCGCACGTCGCCCGAAAGGCCCTGGCAAGGCGACGCCCACTTAGTCGTCCTTTGTCAGAAGCCCTTGCAAGGCTCTCGCCGAGCTGCTCCATGCCAAACCCGACCATAGTGCGCTTCTCAGCCACGAGACAGACCACCTGCACCACGTTCGGGTGCTCCAGCCTTTTGAGCCTCAACGCTTCTCTGAGAAATGCTTTCCGGTCTTCTTCCGGGTCGCACCAGACCTCGGGGTCATGGCGGTATGTCTTTACAGCAGTAGGCTTGCCCAGAAAACTTCCCCTGCGGACCGTTCCCATGCCACCACGGCCCAGTTCCTTTGCAAGTTGCAGATTTGCAACATCCACTGTTGGCAACATTTCCGTGGCCCTTTTCTGACGTTGCCCAAAAGTGTATGCAGGTACGCCAGAGAGCCTCGGGCTAGCACTTGGGCTGTAGCTCCCCGGTCCGGGAGTAGAAAAGTCCCGGCTGGGGAAGCGTGCGGCTTTGGAAAAAGCCATGGGTTCAGGAGCAGGTATGGCTGTCCAAATGGACCGCCTCCACCACTACGGGCTCCGAGGGCATCTCCCACATCGTGAGCACGGTCCCGAGGCCGGAGGTCGAGGACATCATTGCAGGTTTACATTTCTCCTGCAAGCACGTGGTGCATGCGACGGTGAGCAAACAGATCCTACTGTTGGTAAAGCCGGGTACACTGTCCCTGCAGAGCTTTTCCTGCGCTCCAGCAGCGTCTCGTGATCTCTCCACGTGCTCAGATTCGACAGAAGCCTCCCAGGCAAGGGCAGCCCCCAGGCTCAAACCCTCGGCCCTAAACGCTAAAGGCCCCTGAACGCTCTTGCGAAACCTGCAGACACGAACCTCAAGACCCTATGTACGCCGAGCATACGGCGTAACATCTGAACCTGAAGCTTCAACACCCGATTGGTCTGTTTTCTGCGGGGGAAGGGTTCCCATGGTCTGCTCTGAAAGGTGGGCTTGCCTTCCGCTTGATGCCTGTCGCCCGGAAGTCCGCCAGGCATGCCGCGTCCTGCGGCCCCGCCCGGCGGCTTCCACAACATCTGTCTCATTGCAAAGCAATCCGACAGCTCCCTGGCCTTCTGCTTCGATCGAGCACAGACGCCCATGGCTTCCTCCATAGGCGCGTCCTTGCTGCACGGCTGCTGGGTTGTCAGGGACCATATCCACTCCGCAGAGGAGGCTAGGTGTACATTGTAAGTGACTTGGAGGACTACGTACTTCATCCACGAACCCCCCTCATACTTCGCCCAAACCCAAAACTACGAGCCCCTCCCCTATCATACTTCACCCAAAACTGAACCCAAGCGAATGGCTTTGGAAAAAGCCATTGGCAAAGAAGTCTTCGCTGAGTCTATGTAAGTCTGTTGCTCTGCCAGATCCATAAACGGCCACCAATCACAAGAGTATCTTCCGGGCTCACTGCGGGTCCGCATGCCCAGTGGCGAGACACTCATGGAGTCACTTCACTGATCGCACTCTGTTTTCGCTACGCTGCTAGGCTGCAATGCAAATCCTACAGCCACTCCCGAGTCTCGGAGGCCGAGTGTCTTGGCTGAAGGCTGAGGGTGCTGAGGGTGCTCAGCTCAGCTCTATGATCTGCTGCTGCTCGACGACCTCCTCCTCCGCCTCTTGTCCTTATCTGTTAACAAGCTGAAGCCTGAGCTTCAGATCCACGGAGCATGTCCATCAGGGGTTGTTCGCTGGCCTTTGTTACCGTTTCCATTCAACACCTGTGGACAACAGCGCTCATGGTCACAAGCCCGCATCCTTTGCACTGATAGACCTTGACTACTAGAGTGCTTTCATCGCATCGTGTGAGTTCGAGGACACAGGCTTCTCTTTTCGTAAAGCTTGCACGCTCACGGCGACACAGTGAATGCCAAGGTTCGTTTTACCCTGTCAAAGACAAGAAAAACCCTAAAAAGCGCCAATTGAGCCTCGGCCAGTGCCAAACAACAGCACCTTTGAGATTCGTATCTTCAAGAACAAACTCGACTGTACGTGCTTGGACCTCTGTACTTCCAAAGTTCTTGTTCCGCGCGACACGAACATTCAAATGGTAAAATGATAGTGCAAAGACGACATTCCTTATGCCCTATTTGCTGCAAGCGGTAGGCTACAGCGTTCCCCTTTTCCGAATCTTAACTCTCTCTCAATCCGGCTAGGCAAAGAAATGGGCATCGGCTAAGATTTACGGACTCAGAACATGGTGCCACTTAATATACTTCATGCTGCTCTGCTGCGTGATCGCGCTCGCGCTCTCGCTCACGCTCGCGATCACGGTCACGATCACGCTCGCGATCACGACCACGGTCACGATCCTTATCACGGTCACCGCCGCCACCACTGCCTGCAGATGCATCTCAAAGGCAGAGCAACAAGAACTGCGGCATCTGAGTATGCCCGTAGCGGCTAGAACATGATAAACTTCAAAGCACAAACGACACAAACATGAACGAGAGACCTCAGCAGAGCGAAAATCAAAAGCACATTGAAAGCACGGTGCAGAGCAGCCGCAGCCTGCGCCGGCCCTGACATTGGTGGCCTGGTCTTTGCCTTTCCTTTCGTTGTACTCCTCTGCACGAACTCTCGGAATGACTCCCAAACGAGCTTGACGCGAGTTCGGAAAGGTGCGACCGCGTTCTGTAGTGACCCAGCCAGTTGGGAGCTGTCCTTGTCATATGTAACCTTGTCCCCTTCCTGGATACTTCCATCGCCGTCTGCCAAGGCTGAGACGTGGGCAAACAAGTCCTGATTCAGGACAGACATAAAGGGCAGTGAAATGACAGCGACTTGGGAGGCCTCACCACCATCATCAGGCTTGATGAAGCCGAAGCCCTGACGGCAGTCTCTGCGCTCACAACAAAGACCGTGTGGACGACTGTCTCACAGCTGCACCTTGTCGCTGTGCCAGCGAACCATGGTGCCAACCTCCTGCTGCAGGTGCACCAGCTGCTTGACTTGCACCGGACGATTCTTGTTGTATGTGAGCTGCCTTGCCAGGCTCATTGCTCTTTGGCTTTGGCTTTGATCCTGGCCACATCAAAGTTATGCCACAGCACCAAAGATCATATGAATCGGAGGGACTTCAATCCAGCATGTGACAGCTTTGCATGCTTCTGAAAATCCTGATACATATGAAAGGATTTCTGACACGGCAAGTGCGGCACGGAACGTCCCGACCTGTTTGACGGTACAGACGAGGGCTAACTGCTGTCTGCGACTGTGACTGCCAGAGAGGACCACGAGCAATAAAAGATGATCGGCTTGTGCAGCCCTTGGGCTTGCAGCCGTAGTGGGAACAGCCGCTGCTGTAGCCAACAATGAATCTTTCGGCCTCTGTCGCCTCCACCAGTTCGGCCTCGAGAACGGCTACGATCGCCTCAGGCCCCAGCAAACGGCAAACAAAACGAATTCAAAAATGCCACTACAACAAGTAGCAACTTTTTTGGCCAGCTTGAGGCTTTGGCGACTTCGCTCCCGGCTTCTGTCGCGCCCGCCTCCAGGAGGTCTTCTCCTGACACCCCGTTGCAGTAGCCAGGGCCGTGGCATCCACCTAGGAGCCCCCCAGGCCCTAACCTGTCCAAAGTGCAGGCCCTGGCCTCTTTGCGGCGGCACTGATCTCCGAGAGCTCCCCCGGAGCACTGAGCTCCACTTCGGAGGCGCGATATTTGCCCTCCGCACGGACGAGCTGTCACACTGTCACGGAACTCAAAGTCTGGGGAAGGTCGCAGCCTTGCGATCGTCCCATTTCTCCGTGTACAGCACGGTGTCTCCCTGTGCAGGCTGCAGGGCTACCCTCCTAGCACTCCCACGCGGCTTTGTGTGCTGTACCGGATCGCTCTGCTTTCCTCCCAGAATATCGAGCGGCCGCATACTCTAAGCTGTTTCGCAGGAAAAGAGCGCACGGCAGCGTCATCTGGCTACGGCAGGAAACCGTCCCACAAACAGGAGATGCTGCGAGTCCGAGTCCTTCATGAGGATGATTTAGAGGGCAAGCTTGATTTTAAGTTGGTCCGAAACAGCACCCCTGCAAATTGCACAGCGAGCGTAATTTCCCGAGCACGTGGCGGACAGCGCGTAGCCAAAACAACAATTGCAACGCCGTGAAGGCTGCACCAGTATGCAACCGATTACATCGGCAGTGCGCACATGCAATGCATATAACGCGAGTCGGCTGAACGTACATGATGACTGACAGGATTCGTTCGACACCGCAGTAGCTGCATTGCTCCGCCCAGTCGTTGCCTCCACCACGCTGCCCTCTCCCTCTTGGAGGTCCGACACATGGCAGAAGACATCCTGCAAGACAGAGAACTCGATTGAAGCAGTGGGAAATGTGATGGGGCCAACCTTGCAAACGTCAGCTGAATTCATGAGCGATTGCCGCAAACGCTTCTGTTCGGGATTGCTCGGGATTGTGCAACAGTCCTCGTTGTCAGCTGCTGGTTGGACCGGTTGGATGAAGCCGAAACCTCGGTACGTGAAGGGGATATGGAAGTAGCCGACTGAGTTTCTGCTTGGGTCAAAGGGCCCTTCTCGTTGTTCCATCGTACCTGCCCAGGGAGGACTGTTGCTGTAGAGTCTCAGAGGATGTCCCATAAAGGCTGAGCCGGCTGAGCTTCATGCGAGAACTCCGACGGGCATCCTTCTTGGGCCACCGGAGCCACGGCTCTGGGGAGGCTGTAGCCAAATGCTGCACAACAAGGCGCTGCTCAGGCGGAATGTGTACTCTACCCCGTCTCACCGCGATGCCACTCTTCAGTTTCCAGGCGGGGCATACTGGTAGCTAAGGCGTGATGGGTTGTTGCACCCATGGTCGAGCGCCATGTTCTATGTGCATGCCAACGGCACCGAACAACATTGGTGGGAGTGCGGCATGCCACACACAATAGACGTTGTGGCTCTGATTTGCAGCAAGTTCGATGAACAGTATTTTGTCAGATGGATCGGGATGGTTGAGAAGGCTTGCAGAACACAACCTGTTCAGCAGCTCGCTACAGAGTGTTGCTCCGCACTACTCCGCATTGGCGAGTAGGTGTCTGCTAGACAGCAACCTCACCTTCCGGTGGAATTGCGTGACCTGGCTGTGTGCAGCGACACTGAGTGCTGCTTCTCTCTGCTCAAAAGGCATGCCGGAGTTAAGCGTGCCGTCGATTCCGATAAGACAATACCCATAATAGTCAGGCTGCAGAAGCCCCTGGACGGGTGCTCCATCGGGCAACTCGGATGTATGGGGGCTCAATGCCTTCAGGGTCTCCTTCAGCATTGAAAAGATGTCGAGGCGGGGCGGGGGGCGCCTGCAAGCAGAGATCTCAAGTCTTCAGAGATCCAAAGGAGCCCAAGATCGGGGGGCCTTTGCAGCTCTTTACGGCGTGGTACCTCGGCTTCCGGCTTCGTGAGATGTCGCAATGGCAGGACCCTGCAGAAAGCCTGACTAGCCGAATTGATTCTCGTGCATCTTCGCCGGGAGCGACTTGACCTTCTCGACCTTACGGAAACTTGAGAACACGTCGCAAATCCAAGAGCCGAAGTGATACGACAACGGCCTGAACCACAACTTGCAAATCATGTGTTTTCCTTGGGCCAAGGCCGTATCTCCACCGGCCCATCCTATCTTCGTTCCGTCAAGCCCCTGGTGCGACGAACGCACAACATAGCTGGAGGTTGCGTGTCCAAATCATAGTTGCCTGCTGTATGAAGCATCACGCAGCATAGCATACCGTTAAACCTTTGCCGTGTTTGTGGCACCCTGGTGCGACAATACTGCATATCTAAGGCTCAGAGTCTCTGACGCAATTCAGGCGCTACTTGTAGCGAGGCTGGGGGGATGCGAAAGCTCTTTGCCTCGCGCTCTCGGTTCTGCTGACTCTCGCGTCCAGGTCTTGCCTCAGCACCACGACAGCCAGAAAAATGTGCGAAGGACAGTAGCCAGCTTTGCTCTGGCCCCAAGAGTCGATACGGGCTTTTCAGCTTCATGAGCTGCATCTTGAATCGAAGTTGGGCCATGTGGCCTCGGCCTATGTACACTATCCACAGCATCTGAGCTCGAAAGATCCGCGGCTCAGTGTGCCGTGGCCGGCTAGATGAGGACCTTGCTGAGCTTGCAAGCTGCAATTTGAAAAAAGAAATCTGTTGAGCGTATGCAATGCGTCTTTACTGGAAGCCAAGGCACTGTCCCGTCGGCCTCCCAGCAGAGCTCGTCGACTTCCAAGTTTGGGAGTGGAGCCTGCGGCAGATCCGTCTGGTATGCCGTGGCGAGGCATGGCCAAGCTGAGACGCAAGCTCTCTTTTTCACTGCCACGGGGTCAGAACTTGCGCAGGCGCAGGGAGCGCAAGAGCTTTCCGAGTGCTCCTTCGTCCCTTCGTTTGCGTTCTCGAAGTTCTCTTTGTCGTCCTTCCTAGGCTCCGGGTGCTCGCAGATGTCGCTGCGGCAAAGGGACCGCTAACCTCGGCATTCACACAAAGACCTCAGAGCCCAACCTTCCAAAATGAAACTGGATTTCACCCTCAGTGCAGCTGCAGGAGCTCAGAGATCTCAGAGATCTAGCTTGTCTAGGATGCTTTGCAGCTCATCGTCATACTGCACCCATTCCGGTGCAATTCGCCGTGCTTGCTGCAGTTTGCCTTCCTTAGAAGACGGACAGGTCCAAACGGCGCAAGACAGGCGACTCTTGATGGTAACCTGGTAGCGCGATTAGGCGCAAAGATCGGGAAGTACGAGATCCGCACAACCCCGTTGTTTCGGAAATCTCTTGGACACCAGGCTCTTCCCAAAGACGGTGGACCTTTCTCAGGCTCTGTCTTAGGCCGGTACGGCTGTCACATCGTTTCCATCCGTAAAGCATTCCCACCACCAAACTGTTCTTGGGGTTTGCGCTCTGCAAGCTGAAGGGTCTCACAAAGAGTGTTGCTGAGCGCAGAAGGTCCGGGACAAAATCCCAGGCCCGGTGCCTGCAGTCTAAGAAAGACTTTCTGTTTGCGGGTGAAGTCTGCACTGACTTTGCCAGGGTTGCCAACGCTGTCAAGCCAGATGCCTGAAAACCCAGTCCGAGGGGCCGCAGCGTCGGGAACAGTGCCTATTGAGTCTGTTGCTGCTGATCATCTTTGTGCTATCATCAACACTGAGGCCATACCTTCCCAAACAGTGATGGATAGCGATACAATATTTTAAATAGCTGTGCTTACACCCTTTCTCGAAAGAGCCAGAAGGTTGGCAACTAGCTTGGCCAAGTTGCTTTCTTCGAGGGATGCTGACCTTGGCAAGAAGACTCGAGATGCGGACGATTCCACACTTCATATAGCTTGATACGGGGAAGGCGAAAGGGTTTAGGACCGGAGGCCGGGAGGCTAGTTCGGCTAGTTCCAACCAAGCAGCACATGTCGATGGTTTTGGCATTGGTTTTGGAACTCTCGCTGCACCAACTCTCGCACCAAAGCCATTCTTGTGGCAGGCTGTATATGGGCAGATTGGCTTGGATGTAGTTTGGCAGATCCTCCAAAACTTGTGAATGTGCAACTTGCATGCCACGGAAGTGCCAGTACGAACCTGATCCAAGTTGGCCAAGCTGTGCGGGTCCGCCGTCAAGGACTGATAGACGTCTCGGAGAGTATCCCCTGCCCCAGTTTGTCGGAACACCTGCTCATGACCACGATCATGTAATACGAATGTCTGTATTTTGACACAAGCGGCCTGCCTCTAGGTCAACAACGAACAGGGCGGAGATGTGGTAGAAGTGCCGACCAGCCAGATGATTCTTCCAGAATCCTTGCCTCACAAAGGATGTTAAAGTCTTTCCCTTGCTGTCCGCGAGTCGAACAATCGCCAACGTCTTCAGCCAGCCAAGTCACTCCCAGAACCGAAAGCCGACAGTGTCCGGATTTTTCAAATCCTCCTGCTTTGCTGCCTGCACAGAGGATGCAACTCGGATGAATACGACAACTCATGCCAACTTCCCGAAAGCATGCGCACAACTCACTCACTTGACCCAGACCTCTCACACTCCATCCATGATCCCGGGACCCAGCCTTTCCGGTCAAGGACCCCCAGATGTGGCTCGTGAGGCTTTCTGGTGGTCCAGATCCGCAGAATGGCACAAAGCCATAGACATGGCCTTCGATGTATGCGAAGCACTCTTGCCACTCTAAAGAAGGGCCAGGACCTTTGATGTCCATCCTCCATAGTTCCTCCACCTTGTCTTGTCGCAAGATCGCTCGCACCAACATTGACCACACTCGCAAGCAACAGGGTCAAGGCGTGCAGCTGCTTGAGGAGCATGGACTGCTTCTCTGAGAGCTCGGCGTTGGCGCGGACGATCTGGTCAGCATCGATGAAGAGGATGCGCTTCACTTCTGCTGGGAAGAACACATCCAGGAAAAGGATCCTGCTGTGAAGGAGTCTGCGGACAGCAGAGAGTGTTCATGCATCGACTCCACTGCGTGCTGATAATTTTTTGACCAAGGCACTTGTATGCCCAGATCACCCGCTGCTTTTGCGTTTGCTCTCGCCTTAACAGCGTGCTTGCGACACAAGTCCTCGAGTCCGGAGCCTTCAAAGCCTCAAGACGAGTCACAGCCAGGTGGGCCACTTGTAGGTCACCCGACTCACGGCAAAGCCCACCCTCTCCGCCAAACCCGGCAGAACTCGCCGGAAGCGAGGGCTCAGGAAATTCTCCACGAGCCAGAAACGCAGCTTGCCTCAACTCCAACAAACAAAAGCATCAAAGCAAGCTCTTCATGGATTTTGTGAAATCTTCTCTTTGCCATAAGCCCAGACACACTTGGTGTGCTTGCGGACTGAGAGCATCATGATTCGCCTTGGAAGAGACAGTTTTGTAAGATTTCGCGATGCTTCGGTTCCCCGTGTGAAGCTGTCCGTGTAACTGTGACATCTCGGCCCTGCACAGCAAGCGCTCGTAGCGAAGACCTGCGAAGTATCTGATGGGACTTTCTGAGACTGTGCCACTGTCATCATAGATTTCCATGGTGAGAGGTTGCTGACATTCGTGCTGTTTCTTCAAGCCTGCTTCCGTCTTCACAATTGCCCGGCCTGATGCCACGCTGAAGATGTGGATTGTCTCGGAGCATTCTGCAGGATCGCCACCTGCCCCTTCGAAGTTCTGCGTGCTTTCCTCATCACGCAGGATGAGAGAGAAATCAACTTTAAGGAAAACGGCTTAACTGCTCCGACAGTTAAGCAGGTCTCGGAGTCGTTTGCTTTGAAGAAGCTCGCTTGTGCATCCTGCCACAGGCATTGGTGTAGGCAAGGACTTCATCGAATCTTCTCCGGCCTCTCCCAGACCCATTTTGCCAACTCGAGCTTCCAGCAGAGAGCCTCTGCCAGCCAGATCCTTAAACGAGCAGGTTTGGGACTTCCTTTGTGCGTGTCTTGTCCAGTCCGAACGTCTGCCAGCTGCACGAGACCTTTCGGTCGCAGCAGCCTCTCTTCGCTGGAGTGAAGAGATAGCTGGTACCTCGACTGCGGAGCGTTGCTTAAGCCTGCAGCAACCCCAGCATCCAGGACCTGGCCAAGCTGCACACCCGGCTTCTGACGCAGTTGGAAGTAGCCGCTTTTCACAACCTCAGGCTGGGGTGGGGAGCGTGAGCCGCCACAAAACTTGGGCTTTTCTACCAGACTGTCCAAGAAGTCTGGTTGTCGTACTTTCTCGATTGTCTTGTCTTCACTATGGGCCACGCGCCCCCCGCACACGATCCAGGAACCCAGCGCCCGCGAAGTGAATGGAGCGTTTGTTTAAGATGAAGACATGCAGGTTTGCTGCTCTCGGTCACCTCACAAGAACCAATTTTGGGCAAGCGTCCACCGAGTTGCTGCCAGCGGTCTCAGCCACGCCACGCAGGGGTGCCAGTGCAAGCTGACGTCCGGTGGCTGGGCTGCCCCGTGCATCCTAGCATCATGTCACAATCTACGGAAGCTAAGAAGCTAACACCCTGAACTGCTTTGCTTTTTTCTGATGCGACCACAGGCCTCTGCCACACCCTCGAGGAAAAGAGCCTCCACCTCATAGCGCACATGGACCTGCGGCACAACAAAAAGCCTTTTTGGGAGCGTCCCTGTTCCGGCTGACATGCCGTCTGCAAGCTTGAGTGCCTTGGCACCCGGAGAGCCTCTTGGGGCATGCGCTGGGATGCTGTCTAGGTCAGCAGCAGAGTCCACCGGCGAGCAGAGCCAATCATCTGGGGCCACGAGCTGGACACTCAACAGCCTCAAGTCGGGTGCGGTTCGGCGTCGAGTGGAGGGAGGAGTGCTCTCTGCTGCAAGACTTCACTGTGCCATTTCCCACACTGACGACCCTTAGTCCTTGCGGACTCGAAACTGGCCGCGTCGTGGTGGCAGTTCAATCCGAACACCCTTCATGGTGCCGTTCCACTCTCCCAGTGCGGCAAGACCGCCTCTCAAGCAGATCTGAACATCCTGCTGAAGGCAGATAAGCATTACCAACTGTCTGCGCCTTCAGGTGCTGCTGGTGTGGCAGCCGTTCGGAAGTAACCTAAAGCAACTGGAGAAACAGAAGACATGTTCGGTTTCAACAACTACTCTGGTCGACAAATACCGAACCATAGCGGCATTTCCAGTTGCAGTCTCCTCATGCCCTCCCCGGTTGGTGTCAACGTAAACGGCCCCGACACTTTGGTCCGGCCGTGGTTAAGTCGTGGGGTCGGGACTGGACCTTGAACGTGAACAAGGGAGGAGCATCTCATCAATCGGCATTTCGCATATTACTATATTACTGTCCTCGACTGCCTTGGTAAATTGAAACGTTATTGTCTTTCAACACAACTCTTGCACATTTCCAACAGGCATCATCAGCATGGAGCAGGCCAATGCATCTCTGGGTTGGTACTTTCATTAGCATTGCCGCATTGCGAACAAGCAGCCCGTCAGAGGAGACTCAGCCAGTCGCACAGGGCGAAGAGTGACGAACACTTCGGCGTTCAGCTCCTGCCAATACTTGCTGGTCTGCGTTCTGTCTGCAAGTCGCAAGACCATTGCACCCATCTGCCCCTCCTGGTGTAAGAGCGCCAGCAGTGGCGGGAGACGTTGCGCTCCCTTGCCGAGAGGGTTCAGCAAGGCATACACCCGGATCGGAGATCCGAAGGAGACCTGCAATAGAGGAACACTCGTGAAGTCGGTGGCAAAATCCTAGATTCGACTGACATCCAGTGGGCACGACAACGGACAATGGACGGATGTAGCGCGCGCTGCGCACGCCTCTCTTGGAGCCAGGTGCATTCGCAATCCCGGCGGTGCCCTTTCGTACATCACTTCGGCGACTCCTTGACGATGCGAATCCTGCAGCCAAGATGGCACATTACGTCTGGGCCTCTTCCAGATGGAAGACATGAAGTCCTGCAGCTGCTCTCCATCCTCGGACTTCTCTTCCGTGGTCTCGCCGCTTCGCGCGGCGAAGCTCTCCACAACCGAGCGAGCACGCACTGCCAGCCTCTAGACTCTAGAATCTAGAAGGCTCTAGCAGCTTCCCAATACCGCGCATGCTGCTTGAGCGTCGGCAGAAAGCTCGGCCAAGGCTCGCAAATGCCAGGAGATAGTCCTCCGAGCCAGCCTTCTGCTTGAGCATCTTCACAACCGCATCTTCGGCCAGAACGAGTCCGTCCTGCAGACACGATCTGACAAAGCCTAGGGCCTAGAGTCCTAGAGGCAAGGGCTCTTTTCAGCTCCTGGAACTGCATGGGTCCAAAGTCGAGCTCCAGCTCCTCCGCGTGGGCGACGATGCCCGCGGTGAAGCTTTGACCATCCAGCTCCAAGGGTCCAAAGAGCCGCCCGTTCACAAGAAGCATGGTGCCGTCCAGCACTCCTCAGGGCCGAGGGCTGAAAACACGCGGATATCCTGCAGTTTCGGCTCTTTGCCACCGCCGGCCCGTCCTACATCGCGTAATATGGGCAGGTGCGCTTGGCAGCGCTCCACATCTTCCTGCACCACTGTCGCAGCCTTCGGCTGAAGGACCTTGAAGGGAAGATTCCTCCTGGTTCCTAAGCATGGGGTGCCCAGTTCGACTCTAAGATGCGATGTGTCAGCCAAGTCGAGCCCATCCTTATCATCCTTGCCTTGTGGGGCAGCGAAGTGCCGCATGCCGTCAAGAGCATCTCGGCTGTGACATCTGCGAGCGGCAGCGTCTGCAATGCCTCCGCGGACATTGATTGCTGCGCAGTTGCCACCAGCTATTACTTTTGCTTTCAATACCAGGTTCAGCTGTGGAGTTCACCGAGTGGGATTGTGGCTGGGGGTGGTGTTCCTACAGGAACGCCTCTATCAAGGCTTCCGCCGTTCCCTGCAAAGCAACCGGAGCTACTCAACTGAAGACACTGGTCAAGCTGCGGTTCCTTCTGTTGTCATGGTCGAAGAGCGCAATCAGAAAGACTCTGAAATCTGGCCGAGCCACATCAAGCAGCTGCGTCAGCTGGTCGAAGCCGCTGGTGGAGGCAGCCGCAACACAGCGGCGCAAGGCGCTAGAGGCGGGCAGAGGTGATCCAACAGGCTGACCGCAGCCTGCTGTGATGGCCTTGCGGCAGCCGGCAGACTCTGGCTTCTGAGCTTTTGGAGCTCAGACATGCTCTCTCTTTTGCAGCTCAAGTACGACGTGAAGATATCGTTTTGGACTCGGACGGCTTCCCGACAGCGAGGATAGCGCCGCGAAGGCCCCGAGGACCTCTCGGAAATCCTGCAAAAGCTTCGTGTCGCCGTGGAGCACCGCAAGGTGGACTGCAGGGTAGGGCCGCGAGGACTTTCCTTGCAGCTGACCTCCTGGCACTTTCCGAAGGATGTCCGGCTGCAAAGGCACATGCCGAATGGGAGATGTGGATATTCCCGGATACCAGGCCGTCAGCAACTTGGGTTGAATGCGGAAGCTGCTCCTCAGATGGAAATCCGCCACTCAATGACCACGAACTGTTGCACATGCACTACCCACTGCCCCACTGCTCAATGCATTGCTTCAGCAAGAGCTGTGACTGTGAGGAGCCGTGCGTCGGATGAAAATGCTTGTTGCTGTAGGCGAAGTTCAGGATTTGCTTTTCTGGGACCATCGAAGGTCGTGTTCTCATCATCTGGAAAGCGAATGAGATCTGCTGCACTTCTTGCTGTATCTCCGACTCCAGCAACTTCTCCATGTTCTCCAGCCCCACTATCATCTTTCCATTCACACTCACACTCGGTGTCGGAAAGCGCAGATCCAGGGAGGAGCGGTCGTCTGAAGTTTTCAGCTTTTTGGCCTGTGGCGGAGATTGAATCAAGCACAGCTCCGACTAACTATGCCGACCGCCTACACGAACTTTTGTTCTAACTCCGCTCCTTCTCGTACTGATACTGTTGAAAAGCCTTCTTGTAGAGGCCCTTGATGCGCTTAACAGCATCCTCGCCGCAAAGGTTTTCTTCCTGCAGCCAGTTACAGCCACATCACACTACCCCATCTGAAGTGCAACGAAGCGCTGTCCTCCGAAGCATGATCCTCTGCAAAGCGCACAAGAAGGCGAGTAGCTGCCTCTATGCCCGGTCTGTCTGACAAGAGTCCCTCGAGGGCTGACCTTATTGATGCCAGCGCAGAACCATGTCCAGGACTAGACCTTGCAAGAGCATGGCATGCATCACCTAAGCCAGGCACTGCAGAACGGCAGCGACCGCCTAAGCTTCACAAGCATGCAGCTAGAGCCCCAAACCTCGACATGCAAACTTCCCAAAACACCACAGCACGTGGACCATGAGCCTAGCAGCATGACCAAACTATCGCCAACTGCTAATATCTGCTGAATTCTGCTGATTGCAGTTGCTGTTGCGCTGTGTGTGGAACTCTGGAGCCGCAGCCACGCCATCGCCGGCATTGCACGCTTGATGATTGCCTCGCAGTACAGCGGAGCAGTCACGTCCGCGCCGCGAGACAAAGCCAGGCGTAACCCAGCCCGAGCCACGTTGAAGATCTTCAGCTGCTTGCGGCTGCAAGGGTCAATGACGAAGCCCAGTCCAAGAAGCCTGCAAAAGGCGAGGCTACATCGTGCTGCATCACATTTCCAACTCTCGTGCATCGAAGCGGCACTGGATTTTGCTTGTCGAGAAGAAACGACGGCACCTCCAGCCAAGGGTGCTGCTCGCATCACAATGGCTCGGAGGCCACCGGGAGTTACTGGATGCAGGCGAGCCCACGTCACCTTTTGAGCTGCCGTGATCTGGCATTCAGAAATTCAAGACCTTATAAGACTTGCTTACAAGAGCCAGAACCTCGACAAAATCAGGCAGGCTTGCAACACAAATCTCAAACACAAGCTTTGCATAGCTCCCATGAGCCGGACCACTGGTTGACCCAAGCACGCTCACTTATTGAAAATGTGGACGACATCTTTATCTTTGCAATGCGACTAAAGAGAGCAGCCCACCGAGAACGAATCTGACCGGCCACGGACGTTGCTACTTCTCGTATGATCGTCTTATGGAAAATCAATAGCCAGCTAGAAGTCTAACCGACTCAAAGGTAGTAAGTTCTTTCATCGACAGCGAGTTTTCGTGTTGTGACACCTTGCAGCTGTCGCTTCATCAGGTGAACGTAAAAATCAAATGAACAGTTGCGTTTGGATGGTGGGCTAATGACAAATCTAGCAAAAGCTAACAAAACTAGGCCATACTTTGCCAAAGCCAGGACATTTCGACACTGGACGCGCTTCGCATGGAACTTTGGCATGAAATCAGGCAACGCACAAACATGAGAACAGCCAGCGGCCAGTCCAAGACAACAGGGTAGTTAATTTCAATCCGGACAGAAGAAAGTAGCCTGTATGGGTTGGAACAGCTGTTGGGATTCTCGTCATAGCTGCCAGACAGCTCCCACGATGCTACGTTACTGCGTGCCTTCCCTTTCTTCTCCATGCGTGGGTCGCCGGTGTTCACTCTTGATGGCACCGCCGGCCCGCTGCGTGCATCCCGGAGCCTTAGCAATTCAAAGCACAGATCAAAGCAGACCCATTATCATATTCCTGCCCCCAGGGTTCTTTCTAGCTTAGTAAACTTCGACAGTCTCGACCCAGAAGATGAACTGCTCACGAAATCGTTCGCATCATGTGGAAGGACGAACATGGAAGAACCAGCGTCCCACGCCCAGGCGCAGGGCAAATGCTCCGGACTGGCTGATTCCGGACGAGGCTAGAAGTTCAGCCGAGCGAAAGAGCCTCGACGGTTTGCAGAGGCAATCATTACTCGCGCAACTGAGCCACCTTCTGTCGGGCCAAAGGACTCATAGAATACAAGCGTACAACAGTCTTGCACGAAAACGCCCAGTATCTGTCGAGCAACGGCAGCTGTGCCCGCAGCACAGGAAGGAGGCCTGGACGGCACAAAGCAAAGGCAAAACAGGACCAGATGATACAGTTGAGCCCGATCACCCAGCAGCAGGTATACGGTCACAGATAGCCGCAAGCCAGCCTCGTTGTTTCTCCGGCACCTGCCAACCGTTCACCTGCAGCGTGTCGTCACCCTTGATTGCCTTGGTGGCTCTCGAGGCCCGGAAACAACAAGTGTTGCTGCAACGCTGCTAAGCCCCGCACCTCTGCATCTTCCATCAACTCACGCGCAGTCTGCGAATCTTCCGAAGTGCCCGCAGACAATGCCCTGCCCCATCCGGATGGGTAGTCCTGTTCTGCCACACTCATGTAGCATGCAGCATGGTTCAAACTCATGCTTCAATTAGTACTGAACTGGTATGACCTACAGCCGCGGGCTGCTACAAGCGAGACATCTGACTGCGTTGTGAGCCGTCAAATGTCCTGAGCGACTTCGCCAAGCGAAAGAAGACCTGCCAATAAACGCGAGTTTCTAATCCAGCAGGTCTTGTGTGACCGCCTCGCCTTGCAAGCTGGATTCATTGCTGAGACGCACCGCGCGCATGGCAGCCCGAGCGCCCAAGCGAGTTAGCTCCCATGGGAGAAGTGGCTTCTCAGCTTGGGTGACCAGATCGCTGCGCAAACGACCTTGGCACGTGTCAGACCGTCATCATGTAAAGGTGAGATCTGCCGCTAGTTGTCATGAGCCTCTCCCACAGGTGTAAGGCCGAGGCAAAGAGCAGAGGCACCGTCTGGAAAGTCTTTGGCGATTGCTGCGATGTCTATTCCGTGAAAGGATTCCTTGCATGCATGGTCGGAGGTTGCGGTCAGTGAAGCACAACATGCATAAACGCTGTGACACTGCCGAGTTTCTGCAGGATCGGATACCTCACGGAGACACCTGCCATCCACCTCCTCCTAACACGGAGCTGAACTGTCTGAGAAAAGGGAGAGAGGTTCGGGGATGACAGACTCTCGAGTTCGCCTCTGCTTCCTGCAGCGAGTCATCGTCCTTGCTCTTGGCAACCTTGAAGTTGTGGCAAGAAATGAGAAGCTGACTTGTCCAAAGTCAAGACTCGCCTGGCCTCGTCGGCGCTGCGGGTCATCAGCTCGAGGCCTCGCTTCGGATCCGGCTTTCTTCGAGATTTCTCTGAACTAGAATTTGCCGAGGCTGCCGTATCCACCAAGGACTGCTGGTGGAGCGTCTCCTCTGGTGCCACAGCTATGGCTATGTTTCCACCATCTCATGCTGCTTCGTGGATTTCGTGCCATGTCCTGCAGGCGTCCCATGCCGGAATGCTACCCTGCCAAAGCTGCTGGCAGTGGCGAGGGCGTCGGCAGCTTCAAGAAGAGCTTTCCTGACAGTCACTTCATTAATGCATTTGTGATGTCTTCTACCGTTCAGCATGTCCTTTCAGCTCTTGTCGTTGGATGCCGGCTAAACGAAACGTAAGACAATACAATGATTAAGGATGCTCCCCGGGAGAAAACAATTCTGTCAGGCAGGCTCATGCTTCTGCGAACATTTGTGTATGTCTGCACACATGCATACAGTCATTTATCCAGGTTAGTTCGTTCATTCATCCACGCATGCATTCCAACAGGCTGCCATCGCGTACCTACCTACCTACGTACAAAAGCCAAACACAAAAGAAAACACACATAATTACATACTTCCCTGCCTGGCTGCCTGCGTATGTACGTACTCATTGTGCGGCCCATGACTCAGTAGCTGAGACGCCCCGGAAGGATCACCAAGATCTCCATAGCCAATCAGCTCTGGATAGGAATCCTTCACACGCATGTTGCCACACGGAGTTTGGACTGGCTCTTGCACAAACGCTCGGTCTGACGCTTGGCTGCAGGTGCTGCCTGGATCAAAATTTGCCCTACTTCGATACAGGCTCTATGGCATCCGCCTCCTCAGCGATGAACTCATACAAGACGTGATCCAGCCCACCTTACATACTTCTGTGATTGCAGTCTTTGAGACTGCCCTTGGAAGGTACAAGCACTTGTAGGAAGATTGGAATGACCGGATCCAAACCTGGAGACCTTCTGCTGGATGCTCTCCCTTTCCCCGGCAGGCGAAGGCACTTCGTCGTGGAGCGCCGCTCAGTCGTCCGACCGACTTTTCCGGCTTCCCTGTCAGCACCATCTTGCTCAACTTGGCGAGATCCTTCCCACAGAAGACCTGGGCGTCGAATGATCAAAGGCACAGTGCTGTGTGGCGCGATGAGTACACCAGACCACGAACACTGCTGCCAACATGGCTACTTATCATCTGAGCGGCTTCGGTGTACCCACCCTTCGAGTGCAGCATGACCCACGGCTGCCCGACTGGGCAAGTCCTTGGCACTGTGGCTCTCAACAGTTGCTCTTGGATTAAAGAAAATCTTTTCTCGCACTTTGCCAGGGCGCATGGCATCCAACCGACCCTGCTCCTCAAGAATGGCCCTGTCCGCTCGCTCCATTCCTTCGAGAAGGTACTTGGATTCCAAAGCGCCGGGCTGCTATGATCGGCCGTGACTGTCCTCGGGCTGCCTCAACAACGGCCGAGGAAAACGAATGCCGTGCTCTGAGAGAGAGCAGCCTGCGCAGCTTTGCGGCGATGCGGGGCTTGTTCTTGCTGTCTTTAACTACCGCAACGATATCAGCTAAATACTGATCACCAAACCGCAACTACTGGCTTCCTTGCAAGAGAAGCTTCAAACTTCAAAGAGTCCAAGTCCAAGTGCTACAGTAGCTCCAGAGCGTTGCAACGTTCCAAGCGAGGTTCGTTGGGATCCCTGTCTCCCGTATCTCCAATCTCCAACCATCTCCCACCTGCCATAGGCCGACTTGCCCTGGCAGCAGAGAGCCGCGTCTGCGTGCTTGGCAGCATCCTGGCGCCACCGGGAACTGGAGCTCCCAGAGAGCGCACGGAGAAACGTTGCACCTTCAGGTGAAAAGCCGTGAGACTTGCGCGTGTAAAATGACTGCTCCGGCCCGCTCTCGTTTTCATGCAGCTGGCGACATCTCAAAAGTGTCAGCATCACGCTGCAGTGGGTCCACACACAGTGACGTCGTGCCACTACGTGCACACCAGCACATGTGATTGAGTCGGCCGATGGTTTGTTGGCGGCGATTGTCACCTGCCATGAAAATTCAAGAGGAGCGTCAGCGTGCACTGTCAGGGGGCCTATGCCACTATCCTCCGCCGCGATGAGCGTTTGCCACCTTTGGCGTCCCCTGAATCATGCAGCTATTTACTGCTGCTTCTGCAGGTTTAGCAGATTCAGCAGCTCGGCTCAGGGGAGTATGGTGGAGTCCTTCATTGCTGTCCGGACCGTGCACCCGCCACAGAAACCACTCACACAGGTGGCACATTCATAGCTCGAGAAGGATCGCCTGCACGACTCGAAGCAGTGTGTGCTGCTGCACTCGTAGCAACCAGAGAAGCAAGCCCGCATGGCGCACTTCGCATAGCATCCAGCTGGATCGGTGGTGGAGTAGCAGGGGGTACCACATGAACTGATGAGTGCGCCACTGGATGCGCAGCTTCCAGCGCTTTCCGCAAGCATCTTCACAGCCGCGGTGTCATTGTCTGCCGGTGGTGTGGCAGCTTCAACTGCTTCAGCCAAGGCATCATCCAGGTTCGCCGTGTGAGCCTGGAAGTCCAGTTCCGTGCTGCAGACCGTGCACTGAGATCGTAGGCACGACTCGCAGGCTCCGCTTCTGTGCCCCCCTTCGCATGCACTTCCACAGAAGCGGCTGCCGCAGTCAAACTCTGACCCGAGGCAGTCAGCACACGCGGTCACCACATCTTGTGTCTGAAGGCAATTTGAAACACAGACCACCCTTTCCTTGCTTTCCAAGCACTGGTTGCCACAAGTCTTCAGCTTCAGCTTGTTGTCGGCAAGGCAAGTGGCACCTGCCCTGTGCAGTGCCAAAAGGAAGGTCCCAACGATTTTTGCCGTCTTGAACATCTTCGCGCAACTTCAGGCAGCTTGTTGGTCCGACACTCGAGCCCCAAATCGTGCTGCAGTGGTGCAAGCAGCTAGAACAAGGAGAAAGGCTCTGAGGAATCAGAAAGCCTGAGACTTTAAGAGAGTTGGGGCTTTGCCACTCGTAGCGCTCTGTAAGGGAAGCGAAGCTCTCGCTCTGCCTCGGCCAACTTCCGCCAGGCCCTCGAGGAGCTCGGCTGCCAGGGACGCTGCGGGCCACGCAGCTTGGACCGTTACCTCCACCTCCAATCCCTCACAGGGAGCTCAGAGGATCACAACATGGAAACCTGAGGCTCAAGACTCTTAAGATCCATGTCCGATGTCTCTTCTCCTCCTCATGCCTTTCTCACCATGTCACGACGTACAATCTGTCTCCAAGGTCAGTAGCAAGCCACAACCGAGGTCGGCTGCAGGCCGCAGGCGAGCAGCAAGTACAGCACCCGGACCGAGACAGGGCAGCTTGTGCCTGACTCGCAATTGGAGCTGCAGGTCATGCGACCGCATTCTATAACTGCCACCTCGAACCTGTTCGCGGCCTTGATCAACTGTATCTACACAGACAGGCGGCGTGGCATGACATCGCTGAACCACATGTGCACCGATGGGCTGCTGGATCAAAGGACTGGGGGCTAAGGATGCTGTGGCTCGAAGATGTGCTCTAAGATGCTCTAAGCATAGTCAAGTTGAGTTTGGCAAGGTCACTAGTGGTCGGTGGGGATGCTGCAGAAATGACGACACTTGTGAGAGTCAGCTCCCTTCTCATTGTACTTGATGTGTGCGTGTGTCTTCCTTGAGCATGCGTTCGACACTTCCAGAACAAGCAAGTGTTGTTGCCAAACGGAATGCATCGCCATGCGATTGATATGTGTGGATGGCATGCCCCGACCTGGCTCTCTGACAGAACATGCTCCGGGACCTGGGCACGAAGCGATCCAACCATGCAGAAGTTGGTCTGAGCCATTGAGAAGAGGGTCTACTCTGTTTGCCGGCCGCATGTGCACAGGCAGATGGCCCTCGCAAGCGCTGTGCTGCAAGTACAAGCATAGTGCTTGCCAATTACATAGAACCTGCAGAGTCTCAGGCTAGCCTTGTCGACGATCTGCCGAATGGAGTCCTGAAATTCTGGATCTTGCATGCGCTGTGCCTGAGTTTCCCAGAGATCGTTCCAGATGGCTGCTGATGCGAAGATCTTGTGCTGCCAGACGACGATGTGGCACGCGAGCTCGCGCAAGACTTTCGGCTCCATAGGCACGCTTCCGATCTGGTGCAACGAGGACTGCGAGCTTACTGCAAGACGGTCGCGGCATGTTGTGGTGCTCTATCAGGCAGCAATCTCTCAGGCCTTCTGGATGAATGCTTTGGACTGTGCAACCTCGAATTCCGCACCGCAGGATCGCGATCGTGACGACTGTGCAGAGTTACGTCTTATTTGCCAAAGTGAAAGAAGTTGCTCAGCATCTTGCTAGACTGGACTGTCTCAGGCAATCAGTTCGACCTTGATGAACAACTTGAATTCCCTAGTAACAGCTAGCCCTACAAGTAGCTAAGCTCCCGGCAGCATTTGGCGCACACTCGGACAGCTTGCTGCCTCGGGCTGCCGTTTAGCACTTAGCACGTGACTGCACATGTCAAGATGCTGTGCCCGTGAGTCTCATGCAATCCGATCCGCTTACTGTAGCCGGGAAGCAGATCCGCGCGAACAGGTCTTGTAACTGTTCTTCGCTGTGTAGAGCCTCGTAGACCAGTCCAAGTTCCTGACAGGCGTGCTACACAAGCCCTGCGACAAGAAGGGAAGAAGACAACTCGACTAGGAGATGTTAGGAATTCAGCGGTCCTTTGCTTGGACTGCTGACAGCGGGATCTCGGAGCGCGGCAGCACGACCTCCAATTCGGACCGACCAGCAGCACCTAGTTGCCTAGCTCAGCAAACAAGCAGCCAGCCATGCCTCATTCAGGCGAGGACAAAGAAAATCTGTGACACCCGGGAAGTCGAGCGAGAGACTAGAGAAGTCAAAGCTCGCCTCCGATGCCGCAACCGACTCACGCCCCACTCGAACAAGCGCTGCACTAACGAGTTAGCCCAAAAACCTACTAGGGTGCAGTGGCTCCTTTTTGTATGGTCGAGTCGCATAGAATGCGCCCGGCCGAGCACACCGCCCCGAAAACCGGTGCCGGTGCCGGGGTGCGCACTTCTGCGTCCGCCCCGGACAACCGCCCGGTGGGGCGGGTGACGGCCGTATATAAGTCAGCTGAAAGCTCCAGGGTGGAGTGGGCGGGAACAGAAAATCAGGCGATCGAGCCGGCGAACTGCGGTCGATCGCTGGCGCTTGTTCCTACTCGCACAAGTGCGCTACACAACAAGCGCTGCACTAACGAGTTAGCCCAAAAACCTACTAGGGTGCAGTGGCTCCTTTTTGGATGGTCGAGTCGCATAGAATGCGCCCGCCCGGCGCACCCACCCCCACAAGGTGCCGGCACTAACTACCAAGAAGCAAGGTCTAGCAGCCTCTCAGGAGCCTCGTGGCAGGCGTAGTCGATGTCGGTCGCCGCCCGCCCGAGGATCACCATGACGTCGTCGACCGGTGCGCGAACGCGGCACCACCCCTCACGGGCCGCGCGGGAGTCGTCGCCCCGAGAGACGGCGTCGGAAACGTTGGCAGCGGAGGGGACCCTGTAGAACTCAGGGCACCAAGCTCTATCGGCCGCCAGTCCCCAGAAAGAGGCGAGGATGCCGTGAAACGAGACGTCCGGGTCCCTGTGCTACCTGCGCTCTACGGGCCAAGGAAGCTTGGGGTAGGAGGGACTGCGCGCCTTCACCCCCAGTGCGCATCGGCAAGGACCATTCGTCACCATCTACCCGACGCCACCCCACAATACAACGTAACATGCGTCTCTGTAACACATTCAACTCACAAAGCTGCTTTCGAGTCAGAGGTAAAGTGCGCGATCCGAACAGCATCGTCGGAGAAATTACTACATCGAAAAAACCTTAAGCGACTTTGGATTGCAATGTGCTTGTTTTGCAGAATAAAAAATGGTGCTTGTGGTATATGACCTTTCCCCATGCCACATGTGAACGGTGAGCGAATTCAGCTGCAGAGCGTTTTCGAAAGTCTCCAGACATCATGCGCCCCAAATATTTGCACTTTTGGTTGGAGTGTAATACTTCGAGGCATCCGTGATGACCCAACCGCATCTTCCATGAGTTCATTGCATAATCCAACCCTTTATTACCTGTATTGAAAAGCAATGGACTGAACACACCCCTGTCAATGTAGAATCGCTGACTGTCCTTCAAACAACCCGTTTGCGATGTGTATAGCACATGCAACATCTGGATGTAAGCATTTGGCACACCTGCCGAAATCCAGCGTGGTCATGTGACAAGCACGGCTCCAGCAGAGGTGCTAAACGACCATGACGCAACTTGGAAAACAAAATCGGAATAGGTGTGTGTGTGTGTGTGTGTGTGTGTGTGTGTCGTTATCCCGTGTTGCGAGCTGAAGAGCGAGGCTCGGAGCGAGGCTGGGTCGAGAGTCAGCGCCCTGCCGCAGCTCGCCGGAAAGCGTGACGGGGCAGGCCATTGCAAACTCTCTCAATCCGCCGCGCATCAGCTACAGAAACAAAAGATTTCATGTCGGCAAGGCCCATGTTGCGGGCGATAGCCTTTCATGAGGGCGAACTGCCCGGCGACATTGTCGATGAAGGCGATCCAGTGTTGGGGCAGCCGCCTGGCGAAGGTGATGATAGGGAGCACCTGCGCCAAAATCTCCAGCACGTAGATGAAGGCCCGGCGGGACGCGAAGGGCTTGAGGTACTCGGGCTTGACGACGCCGAAGTCGTAGAACACCTGGCCCTCGAAGAGGAGCACGAAGCCCCAGCCATTCTCCCACCTGGCCGACCGAGGGACCGGATCGCCCGGCTGGAGGTGGCCCACCTTCTTGCGTAGGTCACCCTCCAGGAAGAAAGCGTCCGCATATAGAGGACTGGGACGGGTCCCGTGACCGCCCCCGGCCAGGGGATAAGCCGTGGCTGGGCCGTCGACACCAGGCGGCGAAGGGCCAACAGGGCGGAACGGAGCCCCACCGACAGAGAGTCGTCAGAGTTGGCTGCCGTGTCGGCAGCCCTGGCGTAGAGCGGCTTAATGGCTGCCCGTCCGGTACAGCCAAATACGGACTGGCTGAAGAACGTGAGCCGCCCGGCCAGCTTGGACGCCACCCGGTTTCATGGCGTCATTCTCCAGGGCGTTGTCGATCTGCAGGAGGATCTTCTTGGTGCGGTCGGCTGTGGGGCGGAGCTCGACGCCCGACGGGGCTACCCGCACCGTGACGCCCTGGACCACATGTTCCTTGGCCGGCGGCTGGGCCTTGGACGGTTTGGTCTGGAGGCCCAGAAGGGCGAAGAAGTCGGCCAGGGCGACGTGGGCGGAGTCGGCCGCGGACTCGTCCTCCACGCCATTAAAGTCGTCAACGAAGTGGCCGAACAGGACCAGGAGCAACGCCCTGGCCAGCATCTGAACGGCGTCCGCCGCCCGGTTAAAGTTCCAGACGCTTGCCGCCGCGCCGAAGCACATGGCGAAATGGAACCACAGGGTTCCCGCAATGACCCGGGAACTTCACCGCCCACTGGCGGTAGGCGTTCTGAAGGTCATGCCCGAAGAGCACCGGGTCCCAGCCGGAAGCCATGGCCCGGCGGATGATGTCGACGATGTCCCCGAGGAAGTGGTGCGTAGGGACGTCAAGCGCCCGCATGGTGACATGGTGGCGTTGTGGCCCGACCTTCGCCAGTCCTCGCCGCGGCGCAGCTTGAGATCCCCGTTCTCATCGAGCTGGGTGATGGCGAAGGAGAGCGCGGCGAAGCAGTCGCCCCGCGGCGGCTCGAGAAGGCGGCTCATATCGGCCACCTCGGGCAAAGACGCCATGGTGACACCCCAGCCATCAGGCGCCCGGCACGGGCCCATCACACGCCCCAGCCGAGCCTCCTTGACTAGCTCCTCCCTGAGAGCCACGGTGTGTTCCGAGTCTCGGGGGCGAAGTGTCTTGGTCGCCACATAGGTCGGGTTCTCCCGGCGCAGGCGGTCAATGGGGGCGGGATTGGCGTACCTCCCGTCATCCCTGCTCTTCCAGCCTGGGGCCCGACGGACCTCGCCCAGCATGTCGAAGCCCTCCTCGAGGTCGTCCTTCAGGTCCTGGACCGCGGGGTAGCCCCGCCCTCTGAACCAGGTCCAGCAGGACGGGACCCTGAAAGGGTCGAGGGCGATCCGCCGTGTAGGTCGCCCGGACGTGATGAGGCCGCGCCGCGAGCCAGGCTGAGGTAGCGGGCGTCCTGGGCGTCGTGCACCATGTCCTCCATCTCCTGGATCACCAGGCGGCGAATGCGCACCATGTCGTGGCGCCAATGGGCGCGGAACTCGAGCAGGCCTTCCAGGGCTGGCTCCAGGACCGGCGGCGAGGTCAACGAGTGACGAAAGTAGGGCGCAGCCTTCCAATGCTCCTCCTCCTCGGAGATGCCGTCGCCCAGGAACGGGGGGTCGGGCCGAGGAGGCGGAGTGAAGTCCCAGTCGTGGGCGTGCCAGTGGCCCAGCAGATTGTCGACTGCCCCGGTGTCCTGGGGATCCAGGATGCCCCACGGGCCGGCTGCTGCCACGAAGCCCAGACGACGATGGCGGAGGCGGCCGGCGACAACCGTTGCCCAACATGCGGTGTCTGGCCTTGGCGTCCGCCCCCCCTTGGCGGTGTAACCCTTGGGCAGGTCGTGGAGCTGCTCCTTGATCTCCGGCGTTGGAGGTGGAGGACGCCCTGGGCGTCCTGGAGCATGGCTTGGCGATGGCAGTGCCAAGGGGCAAACTGCCTATTGCCGGCAAACCAACAACCTCGGCGTCGGGTACGCCCCCTCGCCGACTTGGGCTTGGGGCGGCCGTCCTCCGTCGGGGCCGGGGTGGTGGCACAAGGCACCAGCACCTGCCCACGAGCCACTGAAAGAGTCGGCTGCCGCACGGGTCCCCGCCAGGCGCAGGCGTGACCAGCGGCTAGTCCACTCCAAAGGCGAGTCCACGACGGGGCGCCCAGTCGACGCTGAGCCACCACAGGCGAGGACGTGACACCCATCCGAAGTCGGACACCCAGACGACGAAGACCGGCTCCACCCCGAGGGCGTCGGAGATGACCGCCGCGTCTGGCTGGGACATGACGACGTTCTCGAAAAGGAAGGATAGACGGCGCCCGGCGAGGAGGGCGCGAAGCTCATCCATGAAGACGATGGCGTCCTGGAAGAGGCGCCCCCGATCTCCGTCGTGCCCGGCGCGGGCACCCACTCGAGAGAAATCCTGACAAGGAGGCGCGGCCACCCAGAGGATCATGGCCTCGTTGTTGGGGTCGGCCTCCCGGATCAGCTTCGCCACCTCCTAGGCGGACGATACCAACCAGGGCACTGCCCCGATGCCGCGGAAAGGACGATGATGCGATCGCCCTTGGGCTTCCCCGGCGTGAGGCGAACCCGCTTAGCGGGGCTAGGGTCGGGTGCCGCCTAGCGCCACTTCTTTCCGCCCTGTGGGGCGGCCCATCGCCCTGCGCTGATTCTGACCCTTGGCGGCGTCGGGCTGCTCCCAGGACGAGGCGGACCAGGAATGGGAGGCCCAGCCGTCCGACCCGGAGTGTACCATTGACTCTGTTTGGCCCCCTTGCCGCCCTTGGGTTCCTGCTGGCGGCCGCCCTTGGCGCCTTTCTTGCCGCCCTTGGCCCCATTCTTGCCCTTGCGGCCGGGGCGGATGCGCTTGGGCGGGGGCTCCACCCAGGAGTCGTCGGCGTCGGGGTTCGTCTGGGTGGGCTGTGGCCTGCCCTTGGTCCGCCCTTCTGGGCGGGACGGCGCCACGGTCACCGCCTCGAGGTACGAGGAGACGTCCGCCATGATGTCGGCGGTAGCGTCCTTGAAGGTCCTCTTCGATCTGGCGGAGGTCCATGGCGAGGCGCATCGCCATGGAATCCCAGTAGGATACCAGGGCGAGAAAGTTCGCATTTCTGCCCCTCGCCCGGCAGTCCCACCAGGCGATGTAGGACTCGATGTCCTCCTCCGCGCCCAGTTGGACGAGTATCCAGGCCCACTTGACACTTGACGGCTTCGAGCCCGTCGCAAATGGCGATGACGGACTTAGGCTGCCACGGCCTCTTCTCCTCCCCCACAAGGCCCAGCGGCAGCTTTGAGTCGAAAAAGTCCGCCCCAGGGCGGTTCTTCGGCTGCCGGTAGCGATCCCACCTCTCCTTGACCGTGAGAGGCGTGCCGTCTTGGCGATGGAGGGACCGGTTTTTGGTCCCATAGCCGCCGCGGCCGGAGACCCTGGGCGTCTCACTGGGCGGCACGCCCGCGCAGGCCGAGGACGCCCCAGGCGAAGCCGCCGCCGGCGCCGGAAAAGACGAGGAAGCCTTCGACGGCGTAGACGATGAAGCAGCGGCCGGTGGCGGGACGCCCGCGGAGGCGCTTGGCGGATGGTCTCGCTCCGGGTCCGCCCCCCACTGCGGGACGATCACCTCCGGCGGCTGTTGCCCTGCCGGCTTGGCCGGGGGCGGCGGTGTGGACATCTCCTGCAGCTCGCGCTGGATGCGGAGCTGCAGCATCTCGTCGTAGGAGACGTCGAAGCCCATGGGCCCCATTCGGAGGGCGTTCTCTTGATCGATCGCCCTACGCTGCCGCTCGTAGGGCGTCGGCTCCTCCACGGCTGGCGCCGCCGCCGGTGGCGGGACGGGCGCCTTTTTGACAGGCGGGGGCCCCGAGGAAGGCGAAGCCGATCCAAACAGCCCGGACGGCTGGCGCTGTGGAGCCTCCTGGTCGCCCGCCCCCGTGTCAGGCTCCACCACAAGCGGGGGGGGCGGCGCCTTGGCGAAGGGCTTGACCTTGGGAGCCTCCCCCTGCCCGACCAGCTCGGGAGGCGGCGGCTTCTTCATCGGCTTGGCGACCACTGGCTCGGCCGGTGCGACCACGGAAGATGCCGACGTGGTAAGCGACGAAGAAGGAGGCGGAGGAGGCGGGGGCGTCAGCCCCTTTGCCGTAGGCCACCGCACCGTGGCGCCCGCCGGGCAAAACGCCCCAAAGGGCATAGGCAGAGTCGTGTCGGGCGGGGCCTTGGGCAAAGCGCCCGAGAAGCCGGCGAGGTAGGCGTCCAGCCAGGACTCGCCCTCCAGGTCGGCGTCGTCATCATCAGGGACGGCGATGTTGGCCGCCGCCGCAGGCTCCGCGACCTGATGCATCGCCTCCTGGTCGGTCCAGTACTGCCTGGCCTCTGCGGCAGACGGGCCGGGAACCACCGACGACTGAGCCCCGGACGGGGCGAGCCAAGCCGCCACAGGCCCATCGCCCGCTGGGGCAGTCGAGGATGCCGAAGGGGGCGGCAAGGGCGATGGCGTAGGCGACAACGTCGTCGTCGCTGGTGGCAAAATCCCGGACGAAGACGATGGCGACGTAATTGCCGGCGTGGCTGGCCCAGCAGCCGGTTGGGCGGCCGTGCAAGCGGCCATGGGGCGGGCGAGGTCGCCCGAGGACAAGGCCCCAACCGCGGCGGCGAGCTCACCATCGGTCGCTCCAGCCGCAAAATTCGAAATGAAGACATGGGCCTCGGTCTGGACGCCCATGTCGAGGCCGCCTGTGGCGGCGAAAGAGCCCGACGTGGGCAAGACGAAGCCGGTGACGATCTCCTCTTCCTCCTCGCCCGACAAGGGGTCGGGCGCCCCACCTCCCAACAGCGTGGTCGAAGCCGCCAAAGACGACGGCGGTGCCCAATCGAGCACCTCGGCGTCAGCTGCCGAGGCATCCGCCCGAAGGGCGGCGTCGACGGCAGCAGCGGCGAAGTCAGCAGCGCCGGACGAAGACATGACCAACACTGGGAGGCGAAAGGGGCGAGGGGAACAGAAAATCAGGCGATCGAGCCGGCGAACTGCGGTCGATCGCTGGCGCTTGTTCCTACTCGCACAAGTGCGCTACACAACAATGCCCTTTCACATCGGGCACGCCTGCACTGTCACCACTGCATCGAAGGTTGAGCAGAGTACGAGGCCCGATCCAGAGATCTGTCCCCTCAGTGTGCCCAATACGAACATTGGCAGCATGTGGAACAACGCCAGGACCTCCAAGAAGCATTCTCTGCCAGTAGATGAGACGAAGAGTTGACGGTATGAGCGGCCTCGTGGAACCGGTCTGCGAGAGCCGCCGGCACGCGAGTGGACAAACATCCGTCGCCTTGCTTGCTTGGCATCTGCACATGGAGAAGTCGCACCTCGACCAGATGAACGCGCCACCGTACAGTACACATCAGCCTTGCAGGTCTACGGCGTCTACAGGTCCCAGGCAAAGGTGGCCTTCCCGGCGCTTCGGTGGAGCTCCGCGAGGGCATCCACAAGGCCGGCCAGCAGTGCATCTATCTCGTATTCCGGCCAAAGCTGCATCCTGAGAGACGAAGGACTGTCACACGCCTCGCGCCCGCGAAATGGCAAGCAGCTAAGCAATTCATGAGCCCTCATGAACCGACGCCGAGGCACAAAGCAACGTGCCTTAACGAGGCTGCATTCAACTATGATGACAAGCCAGGACACACTCAAGTTTGCTGGCTAAGCTGCTGCCCAGCCATCAGCGTCTTCACAGCCTGCAAAGAGATGCGAGCAAAGCAAGTCCACCTGCCATGGAGCTGCCACTTCTTCCAACCTCGTGAGGCCAACCTTCAGAGCTCATCCGGGCCGGGGGGACACGACCGGGGTGCCTCTGCAGCACCTGAAAGGTTCAGAAGAGAAGCTGTGCACCACAATGGCATGACACACCTCTGACCAAGCATTGGCTAGCAGCCATTCAGAAACAAGATATGGAAGGACTCCGTGAACAATGCGAGTACAAGCAGAGGAAGGTGTGAGGTGAGATCACTACCTCGCAACGTTGATCCATTGGGGCAACGCAGCAGCAGTGTTCCGTTCCGAACGACTAATGTGAGGCTCTATTCGGCTCTATAAATCTGTCACTGCATTAGGGCCACCTTTCTCAAAGCAGTCAGATTGTCCAAATCTCACTGTACATACTAATTACTTAATTAGCCTGTACACGCAGCGCGGTGTTTCCCCAATCCTCCGGCACTGCAGCCCCTGCACAACAGCATTCGCGCACATCTACGGGTGAAAGGGAATCAGTCAAAGACTATCGAGCCATTCTCGGACGGTTTCGGTCGCAATGTCTGGCCGCATCAGATCTTGCAGCTGGTCGGCCCGCTTGCTTACAACGCCGAGAACCTGCTCCTGAAGGACATCATAGAATCATAGAAGCCACCCTTCACTGCGACAGCTACGGGCATGGTCAATGCGCTCCTTCCACAGCTCCGGCTCCTGCTTCACTTCGCATTGCCATGAAGTTCCTGTCTGAACAAAACGGGCCGCCACAGCGGACATTTTGTCAGTCTGAGCCTTGAAACGTCTCCACGAGGAAGCACCGAACCCCGGAATCGCCGGAGTCTCTTTTTACCAGGTCGATGTAGCCAAGGCACTGGATCTTCTCCTTGGGAGCATTCAGTTAAGTCGACGCAGCCTTCACAAGCCTTTGCAGATCAAGTCTCGTATTCCTTCAAAGTGTAGAACCTTGCATCCCGTGAAGTGACATTCCACGCACCGCACGTTCGCTAGAGATCAGCATCTCCCCTTTCCATTTGCAGACCGGGTAGCAGCTTGCCTCAGTTTAGAGAGCAGGTCGCCGCCCTACCAGCTGCTAGCCGCAAGCCTGGGAGTGCCAAGGCGCGCTGGCGAGCTTTGTGCTCGAAAATATCGATGCTGCGGCATCCCTCGTCGGACATCTGCCTCTGTGCGGCTGCGTAGACACGCATAGATGCACAGAGGAAGATAGAGCGGGGCCCGGGGGCCGCCCGGCCTGTGAGCGTCGATCTTGCCCCGAAGCAGAAGCCCGGGGGCCACCTCGGCACTGTAAAGCCTCGGTTATGTTGCAAAGCGGGTACGACGAGCTTCACACAATTTTGCGCAAGGCTCTCACAGAAGACTGCTCTCCAAGAAGCTTTGTGTTGCCGGCCTGGAAAGGGGCCGCCGTCTTGGCGGCCGCTTTGCGAAGCTTCTTGCTTTGGTCCTTCATGGCTTTTGCAATCGTCTTCGCATCTTCCCTGCGAGCCCAAGCATCGGACAAGCGTGACAACAACTCCCTAAGTGGACCGGCACCTGTGAGTGGCTCTGGGATGAGGAGAGAGAGTTCCTACAAGTATCGAAAGGGCACAGGGGGCCGAATTACTTAATGGAAGAGACGGGCCTTCGAGGCAGAACATCCCTCGCTGCTATCAGATCGCTCTTCAGCAGCCAATCAGCCATTCCGGGATCTTGTTTTCGGAAAGCCTCCAACAGCTCCTCACGCGTGGGCTAACAGCGCTGAGCGAAGGTGACGGCATGCTGCAGTAACCTTCCGATCAGTCCTGCATGTCACCGATTGCATCACTCTGCAGTGTAAGCAGCTTTGCCCCCTGGATCGGGACAAAGGGTGCTGTCTACCCCGTCTCAGCCGTCTACTCGAGCTCGGTCTGCTCGTAACACAAGGGCGCGCATCTTTCAGCTCTGGGCCCTCGACCATTTGCAGTTTCTCGCCTCAGAAGTCGGGTACACAGCGAGGCAAGACAAGATTTAAGAGCACATGGCAATGCGGCCAAGTGGCTCCGTGTCTTCTGCTGCTTCGCCCGCTTCTTCTCAGCAGCTTCGGCAGCCTCCAGGCCCTTGCGCTCACCCTTGACACCGCGTTGCATCTTCACCTCTGATTCCTGGGAGGACGTACGAAAGGCACTCTCTTCTCCCGACTCAAGGGCAGTCATCTGCAGTCCCATGGTGCGACGACTGAGGTGCCCTCGAGCTGTCGTGCCACCTGGGCCGAGACGTTCAGCCCGTGGCGCTTTGCATCCACTCGTACAGCTTTCGGTGCTGCGACGGCAGCACTCTGGAGCTTGCCTTAGCATGGCAGAGTTGCCCGTCAATGAACACGAGGCGCACACTGATGCGATGCATCCGTGGCCGCGAGCGCAAGCTCAGGACTGGACGCAGTAGATCTCTTTGATTGGGGCTCAGCTTCTTCTTTTCAAAAGCAGTTGCATCCTCCTTTGTCCGCAGACCTTGCAAACAAGCCCAGAGCAGGCGCAAGTGCTCTGCGCAACAGTGTCTTTTCGTTTTCTTGAGTCTGGCACTCGGAGCAACTCCGCTCGAGACAAGCGGCCGGCATCTCGCTCGACCAGCTTGTTGTACACAGGTAGGAAATTCGCTTTGATTATGTTCCGCCAGCCCATCTCAGCCAACGGGACATCCAGAGCAGGGCAGGGCAGGGTGCAAGCTTCACCGCACCTTGACAAGGCGTGCTTGAATTTTCTACGAGCTGCTGAACTCTTCTCGTACGGGTTGCGTCCAGCAAGAGTGGCGAGCCGCGAGCACTGAACTGCTAGCGGTCGCATGCGCCGCAGCCTCAGCGTGATGCTGCAGCTGCAGACCAAAAAAGCTCAAAGGCCCCGTGAATCAAAAGAGATCTTGCGAACAGTGACATTGAATGCTGCACAAGCTGCACAGCAACATCTCCGTCACTCCATGACAACAACAGCAGCACGACCTTGCGACTCGGGGGAAGTGAAGGCCTCTCGGCAAAACCGATGTCATCTCAACTCTCTTCTAGTGCCGCCCCGCGACAGCCAATAGGATTAGGAAGCCCTTCGGCATTGCCAGACGGCTCTGCCGCGTCTCTACACTCTACACACGAGGAAGGAGCTGCGAGCCAGAGAAAATCATGAAATCATAGAAGGTCCCTGGGCCCCCCAAACTGGTGCTGATGTCGGCATGCCTCCTCGGCGAAGCAGTCGGCACCTGCAGCCAAATATCCCGTGTCTAATCTTGGGGAGGGGGGCGGGCAGGAGGACCGTCATTTTCACGGTTTTCTCCCTGGTCTGACCAGGACTCTGGGTTCGCCCCTCCCTATACCCCCCTTCCCTCCCTCTGCAACGCCCGCTCCGTCTTGCTGGCTTCTTGTTTGCGTCCCTTCCCGCCCTTCCTTTTGCAACACCTGCTTCCTCCGTGCTTCTTTGTCCTCCCTGTCCCCCTGCTGCTGCGTGCGGCATGACTGCACCGGAAACAATCCCAAACCCGGGCCTTGGACCATATTCTAACTATCTGCAGACCCGGCTGCTGGCCGTCGGGCTGCGGGCACTCATAACAGAACTCGGAAACGGCTCTGAGGCGGCTCGCGCGCTAATGGGGTAAACTTGGGTGATCCTTGCACTCGTCGTTCACTTTCGCTTCTAGAATGATCTTGGTCGGCGCCTTGCCCAGGCATCGGAAAGAGTCGTGCACGGCAACGGTGTTCGCCTTCCATAGAGACATGGTGCAAAGTGCGTGTCCTCTGGAGTTTCACAGGCGTGTGCCAGCCTGTTGTCTTAAGACTCGAGCGGTCGTCCAGGCTGCGTCTTGCGACTTCTTTGGCCTCGAGGCAACGCCAGTGACTGCTAGCCGCTAGCAGCTAGCCAACATCATCCCAGACTGGGAAGCTGATGGAAATTCACGCCGTTGCCTTCGTCACCGCCCACTCGTCTGCATCCGCGTATGAACCTTCGAGGATCTCGTCAACCAGCCTGGTCCCCGGAGAGTGTCGAATCCAGAATCTACCCATCCATCTCCATCCGAGGCCAAGCTGCCCAAGCTCCTTGGCTTCGAACACGTCCACGTCCTCCGCTAACATGCACAGCCGTCGCATTCTCGCCACACCTGGCAGAGATGCGAAACACGCAAAGCTTCCTTCCCCTCATGCTGCACCGCGCCTATCTTCGCAATGATGCCCTGCCAGGAGCAGCACGCTCCCAGACCACGCGCAGCTTCCTTGAACTTAAACATCGTCCTCAGCTCAGCATCAGTACCTTGGATCTATCTGCCAGATCATGCTGTAAAGTCGGTCCTCTTTGGTGGTGCGACCACCAAGTCCATGGAAGCAACGATGCTGATGCCCGCACCCAGCGTCGAGCCACGGATTGCGGCCACCTCGCAGGGTTTGGAGTTTGGGGTCCTAAACCCGAACAACGAAATCCTTGCGACGCTGCAGTAAGTGAAAGGCCTTGAACTGCGGCAATGTGTTCAGCAAGTAAACTAGCTTGGCGAGCAAGAGATTCGATGCTGTAGTCATTTCGAATTCACTGGCTCCTGACTGGAATGTATCAGCAGAACACGGGATCGGTTGTCTGTTCAGCTCCGCTCCTGGATCCAGCTTGGGCGCATACTCGGCATCGTCAGGAGCAACATCTCCACCTTGGCAGCTGATAGCAATACAAGCCACAGAACTGGCAGCAGCACATGTGGCTGTGGCTGCAACAGCCAGCCTGCAATCAGCAGCAAAGACATCGCCGAGTCTGGCACCGAAGGCACCACCGCTGCAGAAATGAAGCCCTGCTGCTGTAAATGCAATGACTTTAACCTGGGAAGGCAGTGCAGAGAGGAGCCCTGATATACGGAACATAAGTCGCACGAGATTGTGCCAAGGAGCATCATGCCGTCCGTGCAATTCAGCACAGATGTCCAGCAAAGCGGATATCGTCTTGTTGGTCCTCAGCTGCAAGTGTCGTGGATCCAAGTGGCATGCCGATGACTGAGAGCTGGACAGAGAGAAAGAGACGAGGGCGAGGCAGGGAGACAGCAAACAGGGAGCGAGGGGCAGAGCGAGGGCAGCGATACAGGGAGGGAGACGAGGGAGCGAGAGGGGTGAGACGGGGGGGAGAGGGCGAGAGGGCAGAAGAGGGCGGGAGAGGGCAGGAGAGGCCGGAGAGGGAGAAGAGGTGCCTGCAGTTACGAAGCTTTTGAACTACATCTTGGTCCACCCCAGCCCTGCTCACACTTCGAGCGGCAATGCATTGCCAGTAAGTGGGTCGTCCAACTTGACCTGGGCACCGCACGTTCGAAACATGCTCCAGATTTACACCACGAAGCAGAGTAGCTGGCCGCGTTGTGACGGACCTGAGAAGCCCACCTCTGCAATGCCGGCATTGACCCTGTATTTCACATTGGTGTAGTTCCAAGTGCCTGGCTGACAACTTCCACCACAAGTCTCAAGGGCTGAGGCTGGGGCTGAGATCACTGTATCCGACGCAGAATCACATGCAAAGTTACGCTGGCTTCCTGACACTCGTAGTAGCATGAAGGACAAAGACACAGGCCAAGGCGGAGGCAGTTTCCTGAAGCCAAGGAGCTAGAAGTGCATCTTCGGGTAGCAAAAAGGCTGGTGAGGATCTCCTGCAGACAAGGGGCTGCATGGGCATCTGACTGACATCCTGGATTTTCTCTCACTCTGGCAAGGAGCCGTCCTGGGATCTGGCTTGGCTATTCTGCCACCAGTGCACCATGGCAAGACACAACCCGGATTCATCTAGTCGATTCTAGTAGGTGTGGCAATGCTTGGAGAATTTTGGAAGACCATGGCGGTCTCATTGAGCTCTGAATGAATCCAAACTATGTGCAAAAAGAACCTTCTGATCATGTGCTGAGGTCTCACTTCGCAGAAAGTAGACAGCCAGAAACTCACAACCGTGATGAGAAGTCACCACACATCTGCCACTCCAATCATCCAAACGGCTATCAAGTCGGACCCTTCTAAACCTTGGTGTCCAACACCTTGTGCCGACTTCAGCTTGCGCCGATCCTGGCAGAACGCCAGTCCCAACGGCTGTCAGACGCAACGGAAACTCATAGCTGCGTGCATCGGTGTAGCAGGCAATTAGGCCTCCACTTTCGGAGAAGTCGGAGACAGCGTCATGGAGTGCCTGCCAAGCTGCCAAGGGTGCAACCACAGATTGCAACAGACTGAAGATACATTGATACACTTGGGCATTCTTCGAAGGCGAAGACAAAATGCTGAGTCTTTCCGTTCCACTGCGATTGTGTTTCAAGCCCCCAAAACACGTATGCTGGTATCATGAGATGCCTGCTGAGCATTGACCCCAACGAAACTCGGGACGAAGACGAGCTGAAGCCCAAGCGCGAAGCAACAGAACTCGAAAATCCAGGCTTCGGCTGCTAAGGGATAAAGGACAGAAGGAATAACTTTGCGGGGTGGGGTCCACAGTCTGACAAACCCGATATACAGCTTTAGTATTCAGCTCGCCTTCTGGCCACAGGTGACGAAGGGGCCGTCACAGAGCCGCTTGTGGTCGGCCTCGACCCTCCTTGGCTGCAAGGTTACTAAGAGGCACCAGGGTTGCATATGGCTTGAGTTCGAAGCGATACCAGGATGGGATAGTCAAAAGTCAGAAGCAAACTGCACGACATTGGGTGCTGGTGCTGGACTGATGAGCTGACGTCACATGTCACATGACACGCGACGGATGGTGGGCCCGACATGGTCCTGAAGCTTTCAACGCAGCCAGGGTGCTTCCTCTACTTCGGTCCTCCACCTGCCCAGACAGATTTTATGCTGCAACCCATGCATCATTCCCTACATCCGTATCATCGTAGAATCGCAGAATGCTTTCCAAAGCAAAGGCTTCAATGGCGCATTCTTCGGACGGACAGATTGGGGTGTATTGGACTCGACGTGCTGGTGATGCGCCCAACCTTGCCACCGATTGTTCTCATCATGGAATTGCTCTTGACGTGCAAGTCGGCGAGACCTCGTGCGTTGGAATTTCGTCATCAGCTACACTAATGGACTTCGGATAAGAGGATGGCAACTTCACTTGAATTTTGCTCACTGATGCTTCTTTGCGCTGATGACGTAAGCAGAAAGGCACTGTAGGCCGCCGACTGACTACATTGCCAGAATGCCGCAACTGGAGGCGAATGGCGATTCACGGAAGTAGCAATGCAATCTGCGTGCGTGGGAGTACCAGGTCGCGCCTGGTCGTGCACTTGGGTCTTCAGCTCCTCTGGCTTCGAGAAGACCTGGCGAGCATGCTGCGCCAAACAGACGTATAACGACGAAGCAAGCCGCGCGATCCGGAGATGATCGCAGCCTGCACCGATGGTCGCCCTTTTGGCGACATCTGCGGTGACAAGAGCTGACCGCTGCTTTGCACCTTTGGTTCTTGGCTTTTTGGCTCGAGACCACAAGCCGTAGCATGCTCTGTCTGCTGCTTCAGGAGCACATTGCAACAATTTTGCTTCGAGGCAGGGACCGTCTTGGGAGAGCTTGCTGTCGCCGAAGTGGGGCTTTTCAATGACGGTGCCAATGATACCGGCCACTCTTCTTCCACTGAGGACAGAATCAAAGATTAGCAAAACTTCCACCCACCCCCCAACTTGCACAAGCAATGCTGTGTACCGGACCCTCGCTGCCCAAGTTGAAGTCCGCAGCTTTTGTAGACCTCGCGGTCTCCGGAGCGTTGGACTCTATGACGGCCTCCTCGTCAAGGTGAGTCAGGAATACCCTCTGAATATCTGAATACAGCAGACTTGGGCCTGAACCCGCAAAGGTTGATTTGATTGCTGCAGGAGAATACTGTTGGAGCTCTATCCAACATGAGCGAGCGTTTGTCGCAGAAGCATAAGACACCGACCACAGCAGATTACTTTCGCCGGTAGCACCGAGTATGCAGCACGGCACTGCTGTCGTGAAATGTCTGCATGACCCCACTCGCCACGCATCATGTGCTGATTGTGCTTGTGCATGCTCGGCTTGGCTCGTGCATGTAGCACTGCAGCTGCTGTAGGTGACCAACATACCTTGACAAACTTTCCTGACAAGCTTGTGAAGCCCACGATACGGACGGCTCCATGTCTCAGGTCCCTCCTTCGCAGACAGCACTGGACAAGGGTCTCCCCCACCGGCCTCCATTTTCTCCTCGCGTCGGGCAACAACCCGTGCCCTGCAGTCAGTAAACATCAGGGCACTATACTGCGTCTGCTTCGCCTACAGGCTTTGTCCACCACACGATTGCAGACCAGAAAGAACAAACTAAGTGGCCCTACACATCTGTACCACACGACGCTAAAACTTACGGTATCTTGCTCTCAACGATTAGAGCCCGTGCTGCCTCCTTCTTGTTTTTCGCACCGTCTCGAGAACCTCACCGCACCGGTCCATGTGACGTCGATCTCTCGATCTCACTGCACTGCGAGAGCCCAGCCAAGTATGCAGCCACGACAGCCATGGCCAACACCTTCCGAGTCCAATATCCAGGCGATGACAGTCAGCAACGAGCACATTGCCGGCTGCAGCCGCCACTGAGGAAGCGGCGAGAACACCAACCGCCGCCAAGACTATGGTGAAGGTCAGCGTTTCTTCTGGTCAGGTTCGCACCGTGATGAAAAACGATGCATGCAAAAAGACCCCGTGAAGGTACAGGCAGAAGCTCCAGTTTTCAACGGTAGCGGCGGCTAAGAAATTACCCGAAACTCTTAGTGAACACTTGGAAACGGCCGAAGCACTCGCACGGGGGCGTTGCCCTACACGCCGAGCCAGCAGCCGACAGACCAACGAGTCCGGCAGATTAAGGATGCCAACTGTGTTCGTAATGTCGGCGGCACGCGGGCTGAGTACGGCTGATGCTCATGATGCTCATGGTGTTTGCCACCCCGAAAAGCAAGTTTCAGTTCGGGGAAATGCTTTGGCATTTGGGGGCCATCCAATAAACCCTAAACCCTAAAAATAAACCCAATATGAATCCAAAATGACGCACAATCACGTAAACCCCAAACCCTGTGCTCAAGCGATTCATGAAAGTGATGCTGGCCGCTGAAAGTATGGGCTTGTCGTATGTGGGCTCTGCGTAGCTCAAGCTCATGATGCTGGCCCCTTGAGATAGTTGTGAACGGATAGGCGGTTCACTTGTGAATTTGTCCCGGGTTTCACTTGTGACTTCGCCAGAGGCAGTCGCTTATGACTTGTCACTCACTCAAAACCCGACTTTATAGCATGTGTTCACGTGCGACTTCTACGGATTTGGGTCCGGTGCAGGTGTCTTGGATTTAGCTTACCGGTTTAGGGCTTGGGAAGGTTTAGGGGTTCGGGGATAGGGTTTTTTTTTTTGAACGCCTTTTTCCTCCTCGCTGGTTTGGTTGGACGAATCCACTTACGTGGAAGGCAGTTTGCCAACTACACCCCCTTCAGTGTGTAGCCACCCTTGAACATCTTCAGGTATGAGGCACTCCATCATTCCTTTCTTCCGGAGTCTGTGCACTTTCTTGAGACACTGGCCACCCTCTGAGCCCTCGTTCATCACCCGTTGGGACACCATCGCTCCCCTGCCCTGCATTGCTTCCTGACGCCGTACTCACCTGAGACTGGTCCTGCACATTCCCTTCCTCCAGATCCCAGATAACCATATCACGAAGTTCACCCCGTAGACCCTGGCTCAGTCCATGTTGTTCAATGAGTCGAAAGAAGACAAGCCACACTTCTCCGTAGACCTCGACGACCATCGTATTCGTGATGCCCCCTTGCTGCCAAGCCCTGTAGACCCTCAGGTCCGGGATGAGAGGCGGGTCTTCTTCACTTCAGACAGCCTTCGATGGACTCTATGCCCCACTTTGCCCATTGTCTGAACATCGCCAGCCATGTGGAGCCGAACTCACGCAGGACGTCCAGGTCACTCCTATGTCCATCCTTCCATTGCCCAAACATCACTTCAAAGAAGCAGAACTTCACTTTGGCCCTGCCAGGCTGGCACAACGGGTTTTGCCCTTTCACCACATTTGTAGCTGCCGAAGCCACCGCCTGTTGTCCTCGTTCCGCGGCAGCCTCCATGTCCTCCAGGTCCCCCACGATGCGTTGTGCCTGTAGAAGCTCAGCCACTTCTGCACCATAACGTTGCTGGACCTGGCTCGTCGTGAGTTGTCCAGCTGACCATGCCCTGTATAGTTTCTCGTAGTCCTTCATCTCAAGCACGGGGTCCAAGTTGGGCTTCTCTTCGACGTCCAGCTGTGTCTCCTGTCCCGCATGATCCACTGCCTCTGAGGCAACAGGGATTGTTGTGACATTTTCGGCATCCTCCACCATGCGAACACGGCAAACAACCGCAAGAGGGGTACCATTCAGCGGCGCATCCATTTCAAGCGTGTGCAGTATTTGGGGCGGATCGTTGCTCCCCGTGGCCACCTCGAGAGTGACTGCACAGCGCCGTCTCTTTGGCCCATGGTCCCTGTTTAAGGCCTCCTGCATTTGCTTGTCCTCCCATTCTTGATACACACCCGCTTGTTGCTGCAGATGTGTGGCCTCGATCTCCGCCATGTTCTGCCACTCTTCTAGTCGTGCTCGCTCCTGTGACTCTTCCTCTCTTCGAGCTGATTGCCAGTCTTGTTCTTCACGTTCATCCCTGAGCAACTGTTCGAGATCATGGTCATCTTCATCACGAGCGAGGGGCCCCGTAGATTGCTCCTGCGACTCCACTTGCAGAGGACTGTCATGCACCTGAAACCCCGGGATGGCAGCAGCGATTTCGGTCGTCCAATGGTTGAGCCACGTCATGTCAGGCTGTCCCGGCACCGTACCCTCCGACACATCCATCCCCAAGGCCAGGAGCAAGGCCTGTAGCTGTTCCCAGGGTTCCTGGGGATAGGGTTTGAGCCTTAGGGTTTCGGGTCCACGCTAGGATTTGGGGCATATAAGGGAAATGACGTTTAGGGTTTCTCGGGTTCAGAGGTGTTAGAGCTTCAGGTTTAGGCTGTAAGGTTCGGGCTTAGGGTTCAGGGTTTGGGCTTTAGGGTGGCACGTCGGATCCAGGCTTAGCGCTAATGCTTTGGGCTTTCTGGTTTAGGGTCAGGGATACATAGGAGGGATACGTTTTAAGCTTTGGGGTTCAGGGTTTAGGGTTTACGGAGTTGAGTTTTGGGTTCAGGATTTCGGATTTAAGCTTGAAAGGTAGGGCATATAGGGGGGACAGTGTTTAGGGTTTGGGCTGCGGGGTTTGGGGTTGGGCATATAGTGGACTCAGGGTTTAGGGTTTCGGGTCCACGGTGTAAGGTCGCTGTAAAATCCTGCGCTTAAGGTCTCGGCTTCCCTGAAAAATGGTTCACGCCATGGGGTTTATTCCGAATATGGGGTTATATGGGCGAGAGAGGGTTTGGGTTGGGGGGTTGGGTTGCTGGGCTTAGTGCAGTTTTGAGTTTTGGGGTTTTGAATTTGAGATTCAGGCTTTGCCAAGGGCAGTGGTTAAGGTGTAAAGCTTCGGCCTCGGAGGGCAGCGGTGCGCAATGAATACAGGATTGAGGCTCATGCAAGGTCCCAACGAAGATCAATGTCATCGATGCGGCCAGGACCCTCTTTCCCATGGTCCGCCACCATATCAGAGTCGGAGGGTCCGGGTCGCAAGACAAAAAGCGAAACCCCGGACATGTCACAAGCGAACCATCTACCTTGTAAGTCTTTTGGACACGGACCCGAATATGTGACCATCGGCTCATAAAGGCTCTGGGGATCTTTGGGGAAGGCAGCAAAATTCTGAGGATATCTACAACCGGGACTTCCCGACTTCTTTCCCATGTTGCCCACTGCAAAAGTGTTATGCGTGCACCTTCGGTGTCGTCGACAGCTCCTCCACGATTTCTTCCTGCAGCCATTCACACCAACGCTATGCAACATGCACCTTTCTTGTGCGCTCTCATCAGCTGTGTCCCCTGCTGCGCCAGTCTGAAAGATGTACACACCACGGTCGATACCTGGGGAGTTGCTGCAACATACAGCGTTTACACACGAACAACTTTGTCTTATGCCATTCATCCTTCCTGCTCGTCCCCTTGTGGTGACGACAGCATGTATGACTATTTCTTGAAAGGATGTTGCCGCTCAGGCTGTTTCACGTGCTGAATAACTCGAGCGAGCGTGTCATCAAGAAATCCGAAACACCCTCTGAGACAAGAACCTCCGAACGGGTTGCTGGAGATGTCGCTTATTGTCTGCAAGCATCAAGGCCATTCGACACTGAACTGGCCAAGCGTGGCTTGCTCAAGACACAATGGCTGCGGCCTGTGGTGGAATTGTGAGCGAATAGTACCTGAGCCCAACAGAGTAACTATCGGAGTTCAGATTCTGAAGCCCAAGGTCCGTACGTGCTGGTGCTCAGCAGTCCAGTCAGCTGCACATGCATAATGTTGCGGTTGTCTCTGTCGATGGCCACCGCCTGCTGGACGGGAGACTGATGATAGCACCGAGGTGCCTCTCGGCGGAGGGTCATGCACAATGAAGTAGCTTGTGTGCTTTGTGGTTTTGGGAGAGAGGTCCCCCAGTGATCCCGGGCACAAGGGCGCAAGGGCACAAGGGCACAAGGGCACGGCAAGGGCACGGCAAGGGCACCACAAGGGCACCAAAGGGCAAGGCAAGGGCACGGCAAGGGCACAAGGGCACAAGGGCACAAGGGCACAAGGGCACAAGGGCACAAGGGCACAGGGGCACAAGGGCACAAGGGCACAAGGGCACAAGGGCACAAGGGCATGAGGGCATACGGGCACAAGAGCGCGAATGCACATAGACATATATACAAATATACAAGTATACATATACACATGTATACATTTCTACATATGTACACATATACATATAACACGTATAAAACATACATATGTATGTACATACATATACAAAAGCACATAATATATATATATACATATGCACACATTTTTTGATATATATATATATATATATATATATACATACATGCATGCGTGCATACATACATACACATATACATATGTACACGTACACATATATACACAAAACACGTGTACACATATACATATATACATATATACATATATACACATCTAAATATATGCATCTACACAAGAATACATAATTACCCATACACATATACACATATACATGTACACATGTATACATATAAACATGAATAGAGTTGTGATTTTAAAATCAGGGGCGCCCCATCAGTCCGAGGCCCCATCCTCGGAGTTCAAGGGTGATAAGACTTCTGGTTTTAAAGACAGGACCGCCCTATCAGTCCGAGGCTCCGTCCTCGGAGTTCAATGGTGATAAGAGTTCTGATTCTGAAATCAGGGGCTCCACATTAGTCCAAGGCTCCATCCTCGGAGTTCAAGGGTGGTCAGAGTTCTGTTTTTTCAAAATCAAGGGCA